AGTTAGTACAGCCTCAAAACATCCCTAACTAGCAAAGCAGAAGCAACTTCAGACTGGGAGACCGTGAGTTGTTCCACTGATAATGAAACAACACCTATAAAGAATTCTTCTTTACTTGGAATGGGTTTTGATTTTTTTTGTAATCAAGTTATATTTGTTTTTGAAAAGTACACAATACACATGACATTAAAGACATTTTTCAAAGATTCCTCCACTAAAAATATAAGAATAATGTGGAAAATTCTAGGCACCCAAAGAAAGATCAAAATTTTGTAAATTAATTCTGGAAAATATTAAATCTAGAAAGGTTACATGTTTATTAAAAATTAAATATAATGTTTTAGTAACATGATTATTAACACTAAGAGGTTAAAACTTACAAAAGAGTTTTTTTTCTTCAATTCAGTCCCCAAGTAACTATCTTAATCACTGTATTTATGGCTATGTACTTACAGAATAACTAAAATATCCTAAGCAGATATAAACATGAGAGAACAAAGCAGTATCACCCATACCCTTGGCTTCATGAATTCTTCTCTGTTATATTATTTACCTACACATAATAGATCTAGAGAGAGTCTTATAACTTATTATTCTGCTTGAAAAAAGTTGAAAAAGAATCTAGAAACAAATAGAAAATTCTACATGAGATCCTCTACCTACAAAATTCAGTGTTTCTTTCCTGAAGTCCTGAGCTGTCCATATGCACATATTGCTGCTTCTGAATTAGAGGTTGATTACACTTAAAATCATTCTGTAGGAGAAAAATGATGACATTTTATGATGTTAAATTATAAAGTATAAATTGAGGGTATATAGAAAAGTTCTCTAGAGTAAGTTGTCATTGTTTACATATTTTGCCAAATTTATGAATATAAAAATTCAGCACTGCTCAAAAGAACAAGGGACATGCCAGGAATGCACAGTGGGATGGGAAGATCAGAGAGCTGCGTGTGTCATTTAGAAGGGCTGGGAGTAGGTATGACCTGCTCGAGGCCTCCTGAACTGAGGGACACCAGTGTGTGCCAACCATCCCTGCCTCCCTAGCAACTCCATTCTGCTCCCCACCACTCCCCATCTACATCAGTTAGGGTTATCTGTAATCCACTATTCCTTGTAAATACAGATGTCAAGGGGAAGGGGAGAAACACTGGCTACTCTAATACTGCATTTCACGGAAATAATTTTGAAATCAATCGTGAAATCACAAAAAAGAAATAAGTATTTTCCCATGATACATAACTCTATAATCCACGTTATAGAAACCAGAGATAAACCCATGTTTACATTATAAAGAAATGTAATATTTAATTCCTTAAAGCAGAACCAAAATCAAGATCCACAGACAGCCCAGTTCTATGATTTCATTAAGTATCCAATTTATACTCAAAATGCAATTTTAAACTTGTACGTAAAACAAAAAAAATATTCCCTGCAGTAAAAAACAAATGTTAACTTTACTATGTCCAAAATTATAATTTAGTCTAAAAAACAGAAACTTAGGAATAATGCTATATCAAAAATCTAAAAATCATTTATGTTAGAAAAGTAAAAGAAAATAAGGAGTGTGCTGGAAATCTGAAAGCATGGCCTAGGAACAAAACAATGACTACAGATAACGTGCAAAATTGTCATGAAAACCTTCGGATGCTGTTGCCACTCAGGCAGACTTTCATTCCCTTTTGTCTACGATTATATTTTAATTGTTTTCAACAAATTTATTTCACTGAGTTAGTACTAAAATGCATCATTAATAAAACTTCATTTTAATTAAATCAAAACAAACAAATCGCTAAGAGGAAACAAAGTCCACTCTGTTCTCATGTTTTTATTTGGTGTAAAACATCTTTGGAACATCAGTACCATATTTTAGGTAAAAAAGCCTTTATTTTAGGTAAGTAGAAAGGCAGTCTTTACCAGCATGATTTAATAAAGACAACCTGGTTATCTGCATAAAGATATTGATTCAAAATCCTTTTACATTTGGGAGTAACTTTGCAGAAGATTTACTTTCCAAATGGTACTCTGGTCTCATATTAATCTGATGTTGAAATAAACTGCTATTACTTGAGCAATTTTCATTCTCTGGCACAAAGAGCCATAAAATGTATATCACAACAAAATATATAGGTAACGTGTGAATTCTAATCTTTCTTCATATGAAAATTCCTTTATAAAATAAAAAGTACAGGAAAACACTGACACTAAGTTTCTCCATCAAAGGGGATTTATCATAATTAAGACATTAAAGTTAAAATAGCTTGGCACATAATTAGAGAGGAGGGGAAGGATATTATCTCCTCACCTACTGAATGATAAAGAGCAAATAAACCAGTTTCTGGCTATAAACACATGTACTTTTCCTTTTGTAATCATTGAAAAATATACTATGAGACTAAATCAGGTTCCTAAACTCAAGGAAAAAATTCAAATTTTAAATGTTTCATCTTCAATGCATGAGCTTTTGAATAACAAAAGTTCTTAACCAAAAAACTTTCTCCACTGGCAAAGGGAAAAGGTCAACATCCTATTTCATATCCATCTTTTCTTTCACATCAGAAATACACATTAAAAAAAAAAGCTAAACCCAACAACAAATTCTTCATGAGAAAGAACTATGAAAATGAAATTGTTTTTTAGCAAAACAAGAATTATACTTCAGCAACCCTAATTTCAACAAAAAAGGAAAATAAAACTGCTTCACAGAAACTTGCGAAAAACATCTGACAAATACAAGCTCACTGGTTGCAACAGCCTCAAACTCTATTAAGTGCCAACAGTCTTTACACTAATTTCATGAAAGAGACATAAACCAAGAGATATAAAATTTCTAAATAATTCATTTATGTTGAAAAATGCAGCTTGGGGTAAAGTGAAACAAGGAGGGAAATCCCGTGGAGTATTCTATATTTACTGATAGACTTGAAAGTTCTTCTTCCTGCTAAATAGATAAAAACCATTTTTGAGTACCCTTGCTTTGATCCCGTACTTCTTGCACTGCAGATATGAAAAAAGTAAAAATGCTTTCAGTCCATCAAGCGCTGCCAGCAACTAGCTCTGAAATTTATCCCAAGTCCATCTACTTCTTATCTCCGCTACTGTTTTTTTTTTGTTTTTTGTTTTTCGTTTTTTTTGCTGAGGAAGATTCGCCCTGAGCTAACACCTGCACCAATCTTCCTCTATTTTGTATGTGGGCCACTGCCACAGCATGGCCACCACCGAGTGGTATAGGTCCACGCCCGGGAACCAAACATGGGCTGCCAAAGTGGAGTGTGTCGAACTTAAGCGCTAGGCCACGGGCCTGGTCCCTGTTATCTCAACTTTTATTGTTCTAGTCCAAGCCACTAACCATCTCCACTCCAGACCACAATGAGAACCTAACTAAAATGGTCTTTTCAGGTACACACTTACCCCTGTACAATCCATTCTCCACAGAGTAGCCTAAGCAATCATTTTAAAACATAAAGCAAATCTTGTCATTCCCGTTAAAAAATCTTTCAATGGTTTTCAACTCATCTTATAAAAGTAAGAGTCAAACAAGAGCCTACAAGATCCTACAGGATCAGATCCCTGCCAACCTCTCCTCCATCTTTTCTCATGCTGGCCTCATACTGCCCTTCAAATTAGAGTTTCTCAACCTTGGCGCTATTGACATATTGGGCAGGACAGTTTCTTGTTGTGAGCACTGTCTGTGTGTTGTAGGATGCACAGCAGCATCCTGGCCTCTCTCTATCCACTAGGTGCCAAAAGCACCACCACCCCCAGTGGTCACATCCAAATATGTCTCCAGACATTGCTTTTAAAGAAGCCAAGCTCATTCCCGCCTCATGGTCTTTTCCCCTCTCATTCCCTCCACCTGAAATGCTTGAGCTGTGCAACTGGTTCCTTATCGTTACTGTCTCAGCTTGGCCATTGTCACCTACTCAGAAAGTCCTTCTCCAATCATCCCATGTAAAGCTGCACCCACTTCCACCATATCTATAGCCCAGCACTTAACCTAACAGGGTACAAAGTAAGTGCTCATGAAGTAGTCGTTGAAAGCATGCATAAATTTCAGTATTTATGAGAAAAGTGCTTAAGCGGCAAGATCATAATATTTAATACGAATGCCACAGCAGTACTCCTGGTTAGTCTCCTATCCTGTATTTGCCCACATCTTTCAACTGTATGCATTCTAATACATTCTAATTCTTTCCTTTGGAAGTACTGGTAGCATTATTGTCATTTATAGGCAATGTACATTTGTTTGTTTGCCTTAAAAAAAAACAGTCCAACACCAGAGCATCCTTCCAAAGAATGGGGAATAGAGAGGCATCCGACCTGTTCAGAAGAGTGCTGAAGGCACTGAGCCTCCAACCTACAGCTAAGAACGGTCATGGCAAAGGGACTCCTTGTTTGTCTATCACGTACACAATGGCTCACCCGTCTATCTAAGTAGTCACTCTCTAATTTATCTTGTTTTAAGTGGGTACAAAAAGGTCAATAATTCTTAAAGAATAAAAACAACAAAAGAAAAATAGGACTTTAGTTATGTCAAAAGCAAAAGGCTATAACGAATGAAATGTGCGAGCTGAATCTGAATTGATCAATCAGCTTTTAGTGATTTCATGTGAACTGGTAAAATCCATTCAGGTTAACCATAAACTCAATAGTTACAAACTTTGCAAAACTGTGGAGTCTCTAATCAGTAGTCCAGCTGGATTCCATTCAACTCGAAAAAAGACTGACTCACTTCTGTCACAAGGGTCCTTTTAGTTACTTCTGGAGTTGTTTTTGATATTAGTAATTTGAATACACATTTCTTCAGAACATTAATGCAGTTGGGTTTTTTTTAATCACGTCATTGCTCTGAATTGCTAAAACGTACTTCTAGATATTTAATCTAAATCACTGATTTAGAAAACTATCGTTCATCAGAGCATTTACATAAGAACTTTAGGAATGGGCGAGTGAGATCTCACAAATCAGTGTGTGAGCAGGAAGAAAAAGCTGGCACGTACCAGTTGTGCACCATGAGCTTCTGCACAGCCAGAAGAGCGTTGTAGCGAACCTGCTGGTCTTCGTGGTGCATGTGGTTCATGACCAGCTGTTTCCCACCAAGCTGTTCAATAACCCTGTGGAAGAGAAGCCATGTTAAGAAGATACTGCAACTACTTTCAAACTCACGCTGTTAGCAGAAAGCCTAAATTCCAAAGTGCCAGGAGATTTTACAAAGAAAAGTTACAAAATAGGTAAGTAAACCAACACACATCTTTTTATATCATTTTCTCCAAATCACAGATTTAAAGTATTCAAATATTTTCTCTTTTGAATTCCTAATGATAAATCCAATTGTTATTCTCATGTCCTAATCAAGGCAAATATCATCTACCTGGATATCTCACAGACCGTTGTACTATTCTAGATTACAGTTTTCTAGGTAGTTGAGTATTAACTTCTTATTACTAGTATTTCTGGCTCACTTAAAATCAGTATATTGAACACCATCTAACATCTGTAATAATATCAGGTTAAGTCCACCAGTTGCCGTGCTGTGAGAAAGATGGGGCTAGGACGCAGATAGCAAGGAACACAGAGTTAAAAAACACCAATGTGTAAAGATACATGCACCCCTGTGTTCACTGCAGCGTTATGCACAATAGCCAAGACTTGGAAGCAACCTAAGTGTCCATCAAGGGACGAATGGATAAAGAAGATGTATATATACACAATGGAATACTACTCAGCCATAAGAAACGATGAAATCCAGCCATTTGTGACAACATGGATGGACATTCAGGGTATTATGCAAAGTGAAATAAGTCAGAGGGAGAAGGTCAAATACCGTATGATTTCCTTCATTAAGCAGTAGATAATAACAACAATAAACAAACACATAGAGACAGAGATTGGATTGGTGGTTACCAGAGGGGAAGGGGGGAGGGAGGAGGGCGAAAGGGATAATTCGGCACATGTGTGTGGTGAGGGGTTGTAATTAGTATTTGAGTGGTGAACATGATGTAATCTATGCAGAAATAGAAGTACAATGATGTACATTTGAAATTTATACAATGTTATAAACCAATGTTACTGCAATAAACAAACAAACAAAAAGGCACCCAGTAGAAGCCATGTTAATTTCCTGAAGAATGCTATTGATTTTTAAGATATCTGCCCTTTCTTGTAATGATGGAATATGCCACATGATCTCCTGCGCAGTGACAAAGAGAAGAAAATTCCTATGTCAAGAACACAAAGACAACCGACAACATTGCTTTCTAACATTGCACCCACCAACAGCCTGAAAAATTCAGTTACTCCAGATGCAAAAGTAGAGTGAAAATGGCTATTTGCTTCATGAATGGAAAGAAGCTCTCTGTTCCTTTGCACGGGTGTGGCTGAAGACAGAGCTGTCGAGTCTCAACCCCAGCACAACAGTGTGGGTTCTCTGGTCTGTACTGTCTGATGTGCGATATCACTACTACACAGTCAGTGCCAAGTGACACCTTAATGCAATAGGGCTTTTGGTGGTTTAAGACAACCTTGCAGATGGGTGGATGGGAGTCAGGGGTGAGAGAAAAGGTATCTGTATACCTTTTTATATTTTATGTTTTAAAGCATTTTTTAAAAAATGTATTGAATTGAGGGAAAACAAGTACAGTATAATTACAATCAAACATTAATTGAGAGCTTGTTATGAGCCAGCTACTGTGCTTTTAAACATTGCCTTATCTAATATATCAGCTCTGCTCTTTATCAGATATGTTACAATAAGTCATTTAATCAAGTAAATTCCTTCCTGCCAAATGAGAATAACAAGGACACCTCCTTCACGGTGCTGCTGTGAAGACTGAAGGACATAAAGCCCACGTCTCTGCAGGACAGTAAGCCCATGTCTACTGCTTTGATGACTGTGATGCTGAGGATACAGGGGCTGCTCGCCTTCAATCCACTTCTCTCACTGTAGTCAAAGTGATCTTTCCAAAAATCTGAATAGCACTTTCCCTGCTTAAAACAACGGCTGACCAGGCCCTTCACAGTCTGACTGGAAGCCCCTGCCTAGCTTCACGGAGCACGGTCCACAGCCTGTGCTCTCTGCGCTCTGACTCCACTGGCCGTCTTCAGGTCCTCCAGCCACAGGATCTTGGCACACACTGTTTTCTCTCCTACAAGATTCCCACTCCTCCTCATGTAGATAACTCCTCATGTAGATAACTTCTGTTCATCTTTCAGATCTTGACTCAACTGTCCCTTCTTCAGGGAAGGCTTCTCTGTATCCAGATTACATTAATCTCCTAATATGCCCCTGTCATGGCACTATGTCTCTCTCCTTCATTGTATTCACCTGAGTTGCAATTTTATATCTGAATGATTATTTTAAAAGTATTAAATTTGTCTTCGCCATTATACAAGAAGACTCATGAGGGCCAAACTATGCATAGTTTTGCTTACCTTATGTTCCCAGGGCTCAAGACAGAAGGCACTCATCAACTATCTATTAATTATATTATTATATTAATATTTACTATATTAATAAAAATATCTATCATTGTCCAGTTTCTCTTTTTGTCAAAATATCATTCGTTAAAAGACAAGTAAGGTTTCAAAAAAGATAGACCTTTACTGCAGCAAAACTGCCTAAGGATAACTCTCCCTCAACTGCTGTAGCATACTATCACTGGAATTCTAAATAATAACAACAGTAAACATTTACATAGCATCTACTATCTGCCAGGTACTTGTTTTAGCACTTTCTGTTGTTAACTCGTTTAAGAGTTGTGAGTAGCCTAGGATGGCCATCGGGAGAAATGATAGAGAATAGAGATTTAAAAGAAAAAGATACAAATCAGGAGTAACATTCAGGAAAAAGAAAGTCAGAAGCTCCAAGATGCCTTTTTCTCACATGTGCTTAGAATTATTCATTGCCACACTAGGAAACATTGATCTGCCCGAGCTAATGATTTATTTAACTCAACATCAGTTTACCCAACATCTTTGTAATCATGTTAGTTTTTTGAAACTGTTGAAACTGATATGTATACATGTACATAACAGGATAATAATACCGAACTCCTTCTGCCTCAGTTTCAAGGGAGACGCCAAATCAACAGATATGAGACACTCAAGTGAAACTGTGATAGAACATCGCACGCAGAATTTACAAACAACTCTAACCATTCTTAATCCCCTTAGGGAATTCTATTTCAAACATTAAAGGATTCAGGGAGGGGAAGGATGATTTGTGAGTCTTCTGTGATATGCACTGGGCCACGCTGAAGGTCGCTGCCCCACAGAGAAGAAAAAGGTGGTGATGCCTTCTACCCCACGCCAAGGGAATCACACACAGAGACAGTGTGTATTCCCTGCAGTAGGGAGGACAGCGGCCTGGTGACTGAGAGTGGCATAAGCCTGAGAGGTCACAGCAACCTGTAGCAGCCAGGTAGAGGGGGCTGTGTCAAGATCAGCCTACATTCCCAGAGCCTGGGGGGCAAAGGACTTTGAGTGTCACCATGAGCCAGACAAAACACAACAAATGGCTCACCCCAAGCTATGGGTGCTGCAGTTAGATGGCCCAGAAAAGATGCTTCCAATGAACCCAAAAAAGTGTTCCCAAGAGAAATGATCAGATTCAGACATCCACCAGGGCGAGAGCACTCACAGCCAGCAAGTAAGAAAAGCCCTGCTTCTCCCCGTCACCTCCTCCTTCCCTATTCATCGGCCTCTGGGAGACTCAGGCCACAGTAGGTAAGCTCAGGGAAGCAGAGCCAGGAAGGGACAGGATCAAGCCCTCCCCTGCAGAGGGCATTAGGGATAACAGGGAGAGAAGTCCTACTTTTGAATAAGTAGTGAGAAGGGCTATACATATCTCGGACTAAACCCCTTTTGTAATTCAAAATGACCATAGGGCTGTTATCTAGAGTGAGAAAAAAAGTAATGAGGCCCGCCAAGGTTTTCATTCAAAGGCACGAAAGATTTCTATCACTGAATAAATTTTAATGGGATTCTGGAGAACAAACATAAAGTCATTCTTATTTCACCACAAACTGCTCATGCAACCAATCTGGTGTTAGTACCTATGAGCTACTTTGAGGGGGCTGGCGGGGCTGGCATCTTACCCCAGCTGTTTAGGGCAACACTGCTGTCTTCCTCTGCCCTCGCTTACTCCTCTCAGAGGGGACTTCTGTGATTGGTGAGTTTGGAAGCAGGAATCCAGCATCCACAGATCCACTCCCTCCTTTCTCTTCCACATCAGTCCAGTGCTACCTGGGACTATGGGTTAGTCCAGTTCTGGGGTTCAGTATTAGGAAGGCCATCTATCTACACACAACACATTCTTCAATATCAGCTTTATCAGTAAGGATTCTATTTTGGCCTCTGTTATCTCCTTTGTCATGTTTCTCAAGAAAATTTGGAACTCAGGCAGGCAGGAGGGGAATTATTTATTGGAACCCTTCTGGATACCTCCAATACACGGACATACAGTTGATTCCCATTATTCACAGTAGGTATGTTCTACACAGTTGCCATGAACAATGATTTAGCGAACACTGCAACTCCTAGGGGATATTCAGGGTTAGGTTCCTGCAGCCTCTGGTCACATTTTCATTAACCAATCAATACATAACCTTGTTTTTTGTGTGTTTCTGTTTAAAGACACCTTATTTAATGTATATTGTTCATTCATTAACACTGAACTCACAGCCAACAGCACTACAACTCATGCCTGAAGGAAACTTATCCAATACATACATTTACTCCGTAGGGCAATCACAGCCTTCTTTTGCTTAGGACACTAGACAGCACTTCAGCACCATGCTCGAGGGCCATTTTAAACAGTGAAATCACCAACAAAACACACAAAAATGCAAAAAACAGGGCACTAAATAGATCACATAAGGAATACTTGTTTATACTACAAGAGCTAAAACAAGAAGGCAAGCATCGCCTCGTTTGACTTCTGGGAATGTATGTGTGCGTCAGGCACTCAAACTTAGCCCTGCTCTGCACACATCCACAAATGATTGCGAAAGCATGAGTACTGATGTGGGGGGTAGAAAAGAAATTTTAACAAGTTGGCAAATTAACAAATCTAGAATCCATATTATTTATGGATCGACTATGAGTAAGTATAACC